AAGAGTTATCCCGGGAGGATGTCACTCATTTGATTTCACGATTAAGATAGGGAATTGTTCTGAAGCCAAGAATGGGAGGTGCCTGTAGAAACAAAACAAAATGAAACTCACACAGTCAGTGCAGGACCTTAAGTATAATTAAGCTGCTCACGTCGATGAAATAGATGAGGAGCCGCAAGTCACACGGACGGCTCCAAAGGATGTGACATCTCTACTGAGAGTAGAAGCTGGAGACAGCAGAATTAAAAACACCGGTGGTCTCAAGCCGCTTTCTGGAAGGGACAAACGACTCCACAGATCTCAACCAGACCCTGGGCTCAGCGTCTGCTGTGGGCAGTGCCGTGGGGATGATCCCGAGACAAAAGGAGCAGGATGAAGCCGTGAAGAGATAAGAAGCAGCGTACCATGTGTTAGAAAGGCCACAGAATAATGTAAAACACGGATTTGGTGTTTGGAAATGCATGCCTCAGCATGTGGACATTTAACCTAATAAATGTGCGAAACAAAACACTTGAGTTTCCACCGTGTTGAATCTGCTGGTCCTTCAGTGGAGCCAGGGTTTGGAGTTGGGGGGGGTTTCTCTGAGGAAAGGACTAATTTGTTATTTCTCCTGGGGGCATATTTTATTTTGGTGTTATCAAGACAGCCAGATGCTTTTCCTGCTGATCATTTGGTTGGGAGAATACAAATATTTGTGGGGGACATATTTTTTCAGCAATTACCCAGCAAATGTGATTAATGTAGATGATCCAGCTGGAAATTCTAGGCACCATACTATTTTGTTGTCCTCCCCTTCCAGACTCGTTTTTCTAGTCTAAATTATTCTAATCATTAGCTCCCTGTTTCCTTCTGGGCTCTATCTGTCTCGCTATGCAGACCACAGCCGAATCGCATTTTTGTCTGCATCTGTGACTTTCCCTTTAGTTAGGTTAATTAGGGAGGCATCGATTAGGTTGCATGTGGTAACTCAGACTCAGTAATTAAGACACATTCTCTTCTCAGAGCAGTAAGCTCACTGGCAGGATCCAAAGCAAGTGCAGAGAACTTACTCTTGTCTGGGGAAACCGGAGAGTGCGTGCCCCGTATTTCTGGGTGTTGCTGTGCCCATGGCTCTGTCGGTGTACAGGGAGAGCCGGTCTTCCCATTGCCCTCGGCTCCCCAGGCACTGCTGGGAGCATTGGCAACCTTTGTCCCCATTCCAGGAGAGCTGTAAGAACATGTGCCTGCAGACAAGTTGATAATTTCTCCTATAGGTGGTCCCAAGGAGCCTCTCCCCTGGGGTTCAGTCAGCCAGCCTTGTCGCTGTTTTATCATAGTTCGGTAATTAACAGCTCAGCTCCCCTTTGCCATGAGCATTCAGCTTCTCTGATGAGATGCAGGGCAGGCAAGAGCTGGGGGGGGGCTGGAGCTTTCACAGCAGAGGATGGACCAGGGCCCTGCCCGATATACGGGCCTTCAGTTTGGACAAGGGAGATATCAAGGACAACCTCCCATGCTTCTCATTTTCTCTGAAGTCAGTCCTGCTCTTCCGAGGTTACAGAGGCTAAAATAATAGGGTTTACTTAACAAACACTTATGTCATGCTTCTTAGGTGCCGGGGTACTGTTTATCCCACCTTACAAATGTTAATTCGTTAAATTCTCACCACACGTCTCATTCACATCTCACTTTACAGATGAGGAAGTGGGGGCACAGAGAGGACCGGTGACTTAGCCAGTTACACCAGTAAATGGTGAGCTGGAGTTTGCACCTGACTGTTGGGCTTTAGAGTCTGTACATGTAATGGGTGCATGATGCTGACTCGTCCTGCAAAGGGTTATTTCAGTGCGGGACATGAGGAAGCCGCCCAGAGCACCCCCCTCCAGGAGAACCAGAAGCAGGTGGACCTGAGGCCAACCTCTGCCAGGAGGGGACAGAGCCAGTCACCTCGACCCTGATTTTACCTATTTGTTACAAAAGGGGCTTTTGCCATCAATCCCACAGGTGGTGCTGGGTCCAGCAGGGGTCCCTCCAGGGAGGAAGGTGGCTGTATTCCTGGGGGCACTTCTGTGTGACCAGGATCCCCAGAGCACTGGCTGTATGTCTGGGTTTCAAGACAGCCGTAGGGGCTGTAATTTTTTTTTTTAAGTGGAAAATAGAAGTTTTGTTGAGAACGTGCCTTGGAAAAAACTCCAAAGTATAAATTTACTTAATCTTACATTTAACAAAATTTATGCTTTAATTAAAACTGTGCATTAATTTCTTCCCCCCAGCTTTATTGAGGTGTGATTGACAAATAAAATTGTGATATATTTCAAATGTACACCATGATGATCCGATCCAATACACGTATACATTGTGGAAGGATTTCCACACTCACGTTAATTTCCCTGTCCATCACCTCGTAGGGCTGCTTTATTTTTTGTGGCATTTTTTTTTTTTTCTTGTAAGGATGTTTAAGATCTCTCTTGGCAAATTTCAAGTACACAATACAGAATGATTAACTACAGTCACCAGGCTGTACATTGGATTCCCGGAACATATTCGTCTTACAACCGAATGTTGGTACCCTTGGACCACCAGCTTTCCCCAGTCCCTGGTGATCACTGTTCTACTCTTTGTTTCTAGGAGCTGGACTTTTTCTGTTTGTTTTTTAAGATTCCACTCTTGTCTCTGCCCTCTATGGATAAATTCCCCTCTGGGCCCAAGACCTTGACAGCCCCCAGCTTTGTCCTTTCTGTTGGGAGGAAAGGCAGGATGTGACGACAGGTGCACCTTTCCCAAGAGGCAGAGGACAGGAGGGAGGAGAAGGTGTCACACTTGCAGAATCTACCGTTCAAAGCTCCCTGCTAGAGATCGCGTGGGCTGCTTTCTGTGAACATGAGGTTGGAAGGATGGGTAACAAGGCTGCTAAAGGGGCTTGGAACGCCTTCCAGGTAGGGAACCAGCATCTTCCTTGTGTGCATGGACCAGCTGCCAGGGGCGGCTACCTGCATTGCTGCAGAGCAGGGCCCGCGCGGGGCCAGAACTGGAAGCAGGCAGGTACCACCGGCTTGTGACACCTCGCTTCCTGCCTGCCGGGAACGAGGGGCCGTGGGAATCCTTTGGCTTCTGCCTTTATTTCTTGGTGTCCTGAGACTTGGTCAGGGGGAAGGCTGTTGCTCTGAGTCTTAACACTCTCTGATGTTTGGACGCCAGACCTCCTATGGGTCGCCCTTCTGCCTTACTTGTTTGGGTACCAACTGGCGTTGAAGAAGGTTGGAGTTCTGATGTGCCCGATGATTTAACCTTTCCCCAGAGTGCAAAAGCGCCTGCGTAGCAAGGAGGGAACCAATGCATCTTTCACTTATTGCAAAATATGCTAGGTTTGCCCCCTCGCTGTTTGTTTTTACGTGAAATAGAACATATCTTTACTTACGTTGTGTCTTGCGTGGTGGTCTAAATATCTGCTAGACTCACCTCTTGAGATTCATTTCTTTAGGGGAAGACCCACCTCTTCCTAACACATCATCTAGCATGCAGATACCTTGAGGGAGAAGGAGGACAGGACACATTAGCTGGGCAGTGGGAATTGGTTTACCAGTGATCAGAAAGCTGGCCACCGGAATTTGTTTGGAAGAATGAGACACAGGTGACGAGGACAAAGGAGAGCAGGGGTTCTCCGTCTTCATTTCAGAGTGAGGGTCACATCTTTTCTGTTGCTCTAAAAATGACTGATATTCCCCTTCTCCAAAACCTGGTGGAAGTGGGGTCTAAAGAATCAGAACTAACTTCTTTCACCTTCATGCAAAAATGTTAACAGAACCCAGTCTGTCAGTTCTCATATATATATATCTCATACATATATATATATATATATATATATATATGTACCGTGTATATATATATATATGAATAAATCCTGATTTAGTAGTATTAATTCTGTATTATGTGGAAACAAGGACAACCACCTCATCCTGGTTTGCCTGTGACTGTCCTAGTTTATTTATTTATTTATTTACTTGAGAGCAGGGGAGGGGTAGGGGGAGAGAGAGAATGTCAAGCAGACTCCCTGATAAGCTCAGAGCTCGACACAGGGCTCGATCTCACGACCCTGAGATCAGGACCTGAGCTGAAATCAAGAGTCGGATGCTTAACGGACTGAGCCACCCAGGCGCCCAGAGATTGTCCTAGTTTTAAAAATGAAAATCTCACATCCTGGGAACCCTTCAGTCCCTGGTGGCCTGGGACAGTTGGTTACTTTAGAGGAGGACTTCGCAGGGTAGATTATGGACATTGATTGGAACTCCTGACGTAAGCCTAATTGCTGGAATTGATTACCTCCCTCTCTTTTTAAAGGAGAAAACAGAGGCTTAGATGAGTAAAGAAATTGGTCCAAGACCATCCAGAGGCAAGTCTTGGATTTGGAACTAAAGACTCCTGGTCTGTTTGGTCCTTAAGACCTTCCCCGGTCCTCAAATTAGGGTCTGTACCTAGCGTTTCTCCACTGCTTACTTACTTCTTCCTTCTAATTTCTAGTTCTTTCCCTTTTTTTTTTTCTGCCCAGATTTCGCATTCCCCAGAGACATTTTCTAGTCCTCACTAATGCTAGTCAGGGCTCAAAATATCATTGATCCTTGTTCTAACTCAGTGGTGCCCAATAGAAGTTTCTGTGATGATGGAAAGGTTCTATAATTGCACTGTTCAATATGGTAGCCATTAACCCTCAATGGCTCTTGAGCACTTGAAATGTGGCTAGTGCATCTGAGAAACTAAATTTTTAATTTGATACAAATTTTAATAGCCATCTGTTGCAATATGGTGCACTACTGCCGTAGTGGACAACACAGTGAATCTAACTCATTGGTGTTTTACTTGAAAATGTGAGTATCCATCACTGAAATCAGGTTGGGTTTATCAACTATAAGCTCAAGTAGGTTTATTGTTTGCTTATCCTGACCTTGCGTGCTTGTTGTCTCATTAGTTTTTCTTCTTTGTTCTCATCACAATTTTGGTGATTTGGAGATTTTGTTTTCTTACAGGTTCAGCGAAATGAGGACAAATCTACCACCTTGAAATTGGCTGATTTTGGCCTTGCAAAGCATGTGGTGAGACCTATATTTACTGTGTGTGGGACTCCAACTTATGTAGCTCCTGAAATTCTTTCTGAGAAAGGTACGTGTTATACCTTGCTCCAAGGGACTCTGGTTCACTTACTAACAAATGTCTTATTTTTAATATTTAATATTTTTCAATATGGAGCAATCAAAAATCTCAGAATTGGCACCAGGCTTGCACTTGGATTTTAATGGAGATATTTGAAACAGAGATTGACCAAAGCGTGTGGACTTTTTCCTCATCTGGGCTGCCCTTACAGTGGAGGGATTGGGGTGTGTATGTGTGTGTGTGTGTGTGTGTGTGTGTGTGTGTGTGTGTGTGCTGGCAGGAGAACGAGATAAAAGATGATGGAGAATTAGCCAGGAGACTCAAACAAGCAAGGCCATTTGTGCCACTGACCCAAGGCTACCTGTAATGGGAAAAATTTGAAGCAGTTCTTATGGTAATCGGCTTAAAAATTCCTCCTCCAACTTTGCATTTTAAGGAACAGGGTGTCCCATTTCAAACCCCATGAGTAGTATTTATTACCAGTTTGTATATTATACGAGGATCCAATGAACTGTTTTAGTGACACATTCTATAAAGTACATAAAAAGGAAACCGTTATTATTATTATATGGCTCCAAATATATGAATGACTGTTTAGCCACTGTAGCACTTTGGGAGAAATCAGTTCAGGTGTCATATGTAAGATGGAAAGCTCTGGATGGGTTGTGGGGTTGGTAGGGAGAAGGGAGAGAGTTTCCCAGCAGCAGAAGCATCAGGGAAGCTAAGACGGGGAGACAGGAATATGCACGGGGGTTGGGTGGTAGAGCCATTGACAAGACTGGTCTCAGTTTTGCAGAGGGCGATTTAGTTGGCTGACTAGGTTGAGTCTGGATTCTCCACAACGGGGGAGGCTGAGCAGAGGAATTTGGACTCAGTGTGGCCAGCAGAGTGGCTATGGTACTGTGGTGACAACCTCAGATATTTTAGTGGAGGTATCAATGACCTGGGTAAAAGAAGGAAAGCAAATAGTCTCCCTGAATGCTGAGGGATACCACAGCCTTGGTGCTGATACCAACTAAGGGTGTTGGAAAGCTCTTTTGGAAGATGGGGTGTGTGGGTTGAAATTGTAAACACAGTGATTTGGTAGCGGTATGAGGATGGATACATGGACTTGTCCAGTTGGCAGGGAGGTCAGGCCCTGGGCTGAGCGGGTGCTTTTGAGACTCCTCAACGCGGAAATGGCAGCCCATGCGGGCGAGATAAGGAGCTCCTCATGATGCCAGCAAGGGCAGCCGGGGACAGACTCTGAGGGAGGCCCAGCACTGGGGTTTGGAGAAGGAAGGACGGGTTAGCAGGGGACCAGGCAGTGGAAGCGGGAGGATGAGGAGAGCACGGTGTCACAGAGGTCGATGGGCACATTTCAAGATGGGAGGCCAAGCTAAGCCAGACCCTCCGGAGTGTGAAAGGTAGTACAGAGCTGAGAAAAGGCCAGTAAAGTTGGCCGCAAAGAGGTCAGCAATGATTTATTTCTGTCATATATATATATTTTTTTGCTGATTTGTCTTGACACCATTGCTCTGGGGCTTAATAATGAATATCCAACTTCCCAATTATAGCTGCTGAGTGTTTTCCTTTTCCAAGGGTAAAAAGTTAGAACGTGTTTGAAAATGTCCATACTGCTGTTATAGGGTTTTGTGAGGATGATTGGGCAGTACATATCAAAAACCTTCACTGTGTAAACCTTTACTGTATTGTGCATTTAATTTCCGGAAAGTTATTGCAAGAATATAGTCAGAGATGTGCACAAATATTTAATAGATGAGGATGTTCATCACAGAATTATACTGTAAGAAAGTTAGGAGATACTTAAATTACAACATAGAGGATTTATTATGTAAAGGGAATACTGACAGCTATTAGAAATCATGTTTTTGAAGAATTTTTTTTAATATTCTTTATAGGAAATTCCTCCATAGGAAATGCCATGATATATTAAGTGAATGAAACAGGGTATAAAATATGTCCAATGTGACCCTAATCTCGGTACAGGAAGTATAAATATGTGTGGGTGTGTGTTTGTGTGTGTCTGTGTGCTCATGGGGGATACAGCTAGTAATGTCAGTCTTTTTATAATCATAAGAGAGAGCCAGTAAAAATATTTTTTCAACGTGAAAAGACAATGACTGGGATGGAGGGAGAGGCTGCTGGGGTAGACCAGGGCTTCTTGAATTGTCTCTGGTGAAGGTTTTAGAATTTCTAATACAGTGCGGGCCCACACGAAGCTCTGCTACATGGGACGAGGTCACCGCTCATGCCACGCGTGACTTACCACGTGTGCTCGACAACCCCTGAACTCTGCCCTATACTCCATTCAGTGAGACGTGTCCTTGACCATGGAGCTGGATGTCATGGCCATGCCCGATTGCTATGAGTTTCCAAATGTTTACTTTCAGTTTCTGTGCTTATTTTATCCCAGACCGGTAAGAAAGGATGACAAACTGGCAGTCGTCTGAGGACCAAGCTTTGGGTAACACTGGAGTCGACCCCCCATTTGTAGGCATTGGCAGCAAAGCACCCCCCCACCATGTGTTTAGAAGTGGCTGGTGCTTACTGAAAGCTGCGGTCCTTGGTCACCCAGAGCCACAGTTCCCCACGTTTGTCTCCTCCTGTCTGATCCAGCCTGGTCTCAGTTTGGCTTGTGTCTCTGCCTGTCGCACAGGTTACGGGCTGGAAGTGGATATGTGGGCCGCAGGCGTGATCCTGTATATCCTACTGTGTGGCTTCCCTCCTTTCCGCAGCCCAGAGAGGGACCAGGACGAGCTCTTTAACATCATCCAGCTGGGCCACTTCGAATTCCTGGCCCCTTACTGGGACAATATTTCTGACGGTGAGATTGGCTCCCCCAAGTGGGACATGAGGCGACGTTAGAGCTGGAGCCTGTCCTGGGTTCTGCCTGCAGAGCAGGTTTTAGGTCAGCTGTGTAGTGAGGCGTGCCGGGGCCACCTCAGAACTGGGCACGGAGAGGGGCTGTCGGCCTGCGCTTCATCCTTTGTTACCTGTGAGCTTCGTGGAGATTTATTTGTATAGCACTCCGGGAAACAGGACTTGCTTTGGATTCAGTGAAAAAGTCTGACCACTGGTTGCAGTCACTAGATACTTAAGGCAGTGGAGGGACCTCAGAACTGAAGAATATCAGAAATATAAACCCTCATTTGGAAAGATCATAGTCATCTCGGATATAGACGTACTGGGAATTGAGCAGCCTGGGAATGCACATCTTCCTCATGAACAGCCAGGGTTCGTGGAGGGGTGTAGTTGGAGCACAGAGGCTCTGGAAGGCAGGGGGTGACGGTCTTAGCTATCTTAAGTGGAACAGAGGCATGTAGGGTCTTCCTCCTTTTTGGCCCCTTTCAAAACCCATCTTTCCCCTTTTTGCTACTGATTTGTCGGTACCACCCATTACCCTGATAAAATTGGGAACTGGATATTCGGGGGTTTTGAGTCTTTGAGTCTCTAGCTTAAAAAGTAGAATAGGAGTGATAACTTTATTTTCCCTCAATTTCCCCAACCATGTCATCTAAGATGAGTTATCGAACTGCCCTCATCCCCAGCCTCAGTCTCCTTACTTGGGGTTGGGGGATGAGGCAAGGAGAAAGCTTCATTTTTTTTGCCCCTTAAATAAGGTAGAGAGAGGGGTGGCGTGCTGTGGGTGGAGTGAGGGTCTTGAGCTGAGCAAGCCAGTGGTGACTTGGGAATTGAAGGACTGAAAATCATTTTAGAAAGTTCTGTGAAGCACTGTCCTTAGATTTGGGTATGGTGGCCCCTGCCCTGAGCCCCATGCCTTAGAGAGGGCCCTACTCTGGTTATACCCACCCCACAGAGCAAGGGGATTCTGGAGCCAAGGAGATGTGTCCTCCAGAACCCAGGTCCCCCCTTCTAGGTCACTTAATCAGAACCCCAGAAGTCTCTGCCGAAATGGTGCAGGCCTACTTCCAAGACTGGGGAGACCTCTTTACCCAGAAACTTCCTATATTGCCCCAGGGTAGCCAAGGAGCCTCTGTTCAGAGGGGTAGAGAGAGCTTGGACATGTTGGTGGGATGTTCAGTTGTCCACACTTGTACATGTGAGTCTGAGAATTCCCAGTTTAAACCTGACCCACTCCCCGCTGAGACCTCTGGGGATCTTGATGGAGTGATGCTGTTTGGGGTGGGTGCCCAGGCACTTGTTGGCAGAACTCACCCAGCTTGAAGTGGGTGAGGTAGGAGAAATCCTGTGGCTTCCATGCTTAAGAGGCGGCCGGAAAGTGGTGTAGAGGAGGGGCTGATTGGTGGGTGAGCAGCTGATCTTAAGCAAGAGTCATCACCCAAGAAAGGTGGGGAGAAGTGGGTGGTGTTTTTCTCATGTGATCAAAAAGGAAGCTCAGGGAACTGGCCAGGGAGAGCCAACAAGCCACAGAGAAGTCGTTTCTCCCCCGTTGCCTGCCACCTGGCCCACCAGTTGCCCCCCCATCTCTCTAGAATCAGTCATGATCTTGGGCAGGAAATGAAACTCATTTTGACTTGGTGCTATTTTGTACTTAGGTTTCCTTCACGTGTTTCTCAACTTTGTCAGTGTGAAGGCATATTTACCAACTTAGGAAGGAGATTGAACAGATTTTATTTAACAGCCTGACGATTGATTTCAACATGTAAGATATGTAGACATATGGTATGTAGCCTCCATTTTTTCTCTTGCGCGGGGCGCCATGGCTGTCAGGGGTGGGCCTGGCCCCCTGACTCTAGAAACGAACGGACATCCTCTAAGGCTCTGCTGTCCCGACATGGTAGCCCCTCGCCGCCCATGGCTATTGCAGTTGAAACGTGCACTCGTTGAAAGTCAACACATAAAAATTCTGTTGCTCAGTCTCGGTAGCCATATTTCAGATGCTCAGTGGGTAGTGCAGACATGGAAGGCTCTCAGCATCACAGAAAGTTCTGTGGGGCAGTGCCCTCTAGTGTGTGGTGCTGACATGGGCGTTTGTGATCTCAGTTCGTGCACGGGGCGGACAAATTCAGAGCCACCTGCATTCATTTCATTTTCTCTTCCTTCTCACCCTCCCACAGCTGCCAAAGATCTGGTGAGCCGGTTACTGGTGGTAGACCCCAAAAAGCGCTACACCGCCCACCAGGTCCTTCAGCACCCCTGGATTGAAACTGCGGGAAAGACTAGCACAGCGAACCTCCAGAAGGAGGTGCCCCCTGGCAGTGAAGGCCACATCCGGAGGCAGCACAAGTGGTCTGCTGAGCAAGCCTCGTAGTGGCCGCCTCGGGTACTATGCAGCCCCCTTCTCCCCCAGGGACAGAGAACGAGACAGAAATCCAGGAGGCCGACGGTGAGGAGGACTTCAGTGAGGAGGACTTCTGCCCATCATTGGAGAATCAGGGGAAGGAGAGAGATGCTTAGTATATTTTAAAGCATATTTTAAAAAATGAACTTGAGTCTTACTGTTAAATGTTGTAAAATATTTTTAGATTTGTATATTTGAAGACTTTAATACATTTATTTTGGGGGGGGGTTTCAGACTATCAGGGAGGACTTTTTGGTAATAATGTTGTGTTTTGCTTCCTCCTCATAATCAAGTTCATGGTAAACAACATGAGTGGTGCTTTCCAGGATCTAAACTCCCCCTGTGAGGGTGAACAAGGTGAATCATGGTCTTTCTGTATTAATAAAATGACTGACAGAAGTGGGTTGTATTCCGATGACTTCTTAATGCTGGTGAGGGGAGCCAGGGAAGTAGAGTTTAGACATGCTTCCTGAAGCCAATATGACTACACCTAAATGTTGTGGTGGACACCTGATTAACTGGCAGGACCTGTTTATTTGGGATGTGCTGGTCTTGCTGTCCAGCATTTACTGAAAATCCGTTCTGGTACTGGTGGAAGAATGGAAAGGAGAAATCATTGATTTATTCTTCCCCCTCCAGCACCCCTTTATACTGTTTTTCAGCCGATTATCCCTGAGCCTGAGTCACGTCCACATGAAGCTGGGCACTCAGGCTGTGACTGTGTTAACGTTTTCAGACCACCAGGGAGCCGTTTAGTGCATTAATATGTCAGCAGTGCCGTAAATGGATTATACTCAGGCTCCAAGCTGCTCAGAGAGTTCAGCCATGTTCCTACCTGCAGGGCAGACACACGGAGGCTTCAGGATGCATGTTCTCGGATTCATTCCAGATTTCTGTATGGAAATGTTGGTCTTTTCAGACAACTCGGGGGTATGCATGAGCCAAAAGCAAAACATGATCCTGATATTTTCCAAATTGACCTTTCTGGGTTATATATATGTAACCCAGCCAGTGGGACACAGAACCAATCCACCAGTGTGGGCTTCTCACCCCGCCCCCTTCTCCCTACTGGTGTTGGAGTCCTCTGGGCAGAGGAGGACATCAGGAAACCGGGAACAGCGAGAGAGTGTTTAGTGTAAGGAATCCCTTAAGTGGGAGTTGGAACATTGCAAAAGTGCACTGGGGCCCCTGAAGTGATCTAGCAACGGTAACGGCAGGAAATGGCTTCCAATCTGAGGTGGGGAGCCAAAGGAAGAGGCTGGGTGATAAGAACCTGGAAACTTGGAGGAGAAACCCCTTGTAGTGGAGGCTGACTGTGCCGCCCTGATCTCTCTTGAAGAGGAAGGGAAGAGGTTGCTGGCTTGGCAGTCCTCAGCAGTAACTATCTACGGTCATCGCTTTCAGCTGGAAGAGTCTCCTCACTCAGGGTCCCACCTCCCTCCTGGGGCAGGCTGCGTCCAGTGACTGGTCCACGCAGGGAAGGAAGGCTCGGCTCCCTTGTCCCCAATGGGGACAACGCTGAAGGGCCATCCCAGCCTCAGCATCCCAGCGTCGGCCTCGCCCAGTCTTGCTTTTTTCCGTTCTCAGAGGTGACCAGCCGGAGACCACTCCCTAAGAAAACTTCCGCATGCTAATCATGTTACAGTTGGCCTCCCAGGAGACAGAGCCTGTGATCCCCTCTGGAAACGTGGGACTGCTGCAAAGTGGTGACTGGTGCTTTCACCTCAGGGGCTCCAAGGAGGAAGCCGGGGCCCACACACCTGAGGAGAGGGTACCACCCAGTAGGCAGTACCATGGACTCTTGTTCTGCAAACGTGGAGAGAGGCTGGAAGCTGGAACCAGTTGCTGCTGGAATGGCACCAAAGGCACTACATCCAAATGAGAATTTTCAGGCCACATTAGCATCATTTGATTCTCTTGACCACTCTCTCTGAGCCATTTCTCCTGTTGGCTTCCGCGATGCCATGTTTTTCTGGTCTTCTTCCTGCATCTCTGTCTTCTCCTTTGGGTTTCCTGTATAGCTAGGTTCAGTCTTCTTCCAGCTGCTAAAGGTTGTTTCATCATTAGTCACCAGGGAAATGCAAAGTAAGGCCACAATGAAATAATACTTTATACCTATTAGAATGGCTACAATGACAAGACTGACCATACCAACTGTTGGCGAGGAGTTGGAGCAACTGGAACTTTTGTATATTGCTGGTGGGGATGTTCAATAGTCTCCCCTCTTTGGAGAAAAATTTGGCAGTTCCTTTAAAAGCTAACCATATCCCGCCCATATGATCCAGCCGTTCCACCCCTAGGTATTTACAAGAAAAGTTACAGTGTTTGTCCACACCAAGACTTGTACACAGATATTAATAGGTGCTATGTTTGTAGTAGCTCAAAAGTGCAAGCAGTCTGAGTGTCCATACATTGGCGATGTATAATCAAATTGTGGTGCGTCCATACAATGACTACAATTCAGCAATAACAAGGAATAAACTCTTGATACAAGCAACAACATGGACAAAAAAAGAAAAAAAAAAAGAAAGTAATTAGAGTGAAGGAAAGAAGTCAGACCAAAGCAGATTACATTTCGTGTGGTCCCATCTACATACAATTCTAGAAGATGAGAACTAATCCTAGCAAGGGAGCAGATCAGGGGTTGCCTGGGGATAGGAGGGAAGGAGGAGTTACAAAAGAACGCCAGGTAACTTTGGAGGCGAGGGATATGCTCATTATCTTGAATGTAATAATGGATCTTTGGGTGTATACATGTCAAAATTTATCAAATTGTACACTTTCAGTATGTGCTGTTTATTGTGTGTCACTTATACCTCAATAAAGCTGTTAAATAACATAGTTGTGGTTTCTTCAAAACCAGTCCTAGACCCTCTTCCTTACCCCCATAATCTCCCTTTACCTGTACCCGCTATCAATTTGCAGATGATCCTCTACCTCCCTCCTCCCAGTATGTCTCCAGCCCAGGCTTCTCCTCGTGGCTCAGACCGTCTGTCCAACTGGCCATGTGACGCATCCACATGTGGGCTACATTCCTCCTGTCCAGAATATGTGATCAACACCCCATACCTGGCCCTTCTTTATTGCTCCCTCTTGCACAGAACGGGTCTGCTGAGCAAATTCAAAACACAGGCACCCTCTTTGAAACCTCTGTCCCCCACCTCAAATCCAGACCAACCCCATTGGTTTTATCATCCTTAGTGTTTCTTGAATCCAGCCTCTTAGCTTCCTTAGTTCCCCTCCTTAGGGACATCAAGGTTATTCTTGCTAATTCTATAATGTTACAAAAACACTGTGTTCATTGTATATCCATCTCCTTGTGCACATATGGGAGACTTTCTCTTAGACCTAGAAAAAATGTCACCTTATAGGGTATTGCCAACTTGATTTTGAATTGATCTACCTTCTCCCAAAGAGCCATGAAACTTTCCTCTTTTCTCTCAGGGATTCCCACACGATTTTGTCTTTTATTGCTAAAATGTTACCTAATCTGGACATGCTTGAGAAGTAGCAACATAGAAACTGCTTTCTACTCTGACATTGGGGTAGCACGTCATAGCTTGTGGAGGGAATTCCTGCAAGCACCCCATTTCCACCTTAAAACAACAGCCCCACTTAATAGATGGGGAGACTGAGGCGCAGAGAAGTGACCTCACTTGCTCATTGTCACCTGGTTTACCAAAAATGCCTGCTGCCAGCTATAAACCGCAGGGCAGAGTGGCACTGTCGCTTTAGTCCCCATCCTTTACTCGGCTCTGACCCAGCAAGGCTCGCTCCTCAGTGCCTTCGGATGAGTGATTCCCAGCCGGCTCCTTTCTGCAAGAGAGGTACTCAGCCAGAGGCTTCATTAACCCCTCCCATTCCTGCTTCGTGGGAAGAGAAAGGCTGTGCTTGAAACGAGTACCCAGTACTGCTGGACCTGGGGCTTCTCACGCAAACCACCCCCCTGCAGGTTGGTTGAGAGTTGAGGGTGGGTCTGGAGGTGGCTTTAGGAGCCATGGTTGGTCCTTCCAGGTGTGAAGCCCCAGGGCATGGCTGTCAAGGGACTTGCGTTCTTTCCTTAGGGCTTAACTCCAGCTCCTCTCAAGTTAGCATGGGACAGTCACTCCGTCGTCCCTGTCTGCTCTGGGTGGCAGAGAAGTTTCTGACCATGCCTGCCTCTGAGTATTGTAACACTGGGTGTGATGGGTGCCATGTTGCCTTATCAGCCCTGCCTCTGGACTGAAGCACCTGCTCTCACAGACTTGCCCTCAGAGGAACTGAATCTCCGGACTCACATTCATGCCCCTCTCCGGGGGCAGCTCTCATCCAGTGACTGGTCATTGTGGATTACAAAGGTCCAGCCCCTTGCTTCAACTCAGGACAGCTCAGCAGGGCCATCCCAGATCTCCCTGTGGCACCAGGCGACACCTTCGCTTCAACTGTCTCACATTCCTTTTACCCAGTCCCGCGTGATTTACACCCCCTTCCCCAACAGGTGTTGATACTGAGAACGGTCCCCAGGAAACTTCCTGCACACGCATCTCCTCAGAGTCTGCTTTCTTGGGAAATAGCCTATGAGTTTCTCATATCCAGTTAGTATGAGCAGGAGGCCGCTGCTTCCAGGGACCTTCCCCAGTCCTTCCAGACCCTCTTGATGGGTCTTGATGGGGTCCCTCCATACCTGGAATGGACTCCCTAATGCTTGGCCGCCCAGACTGAGGCAAAGTCCAGGGGACCAGGGCACAGAATGGCTCTGGGTCCAGGGCTCCCTGAATGGGTGGACCCTGGTGATTTTGGCGGGGGTGATATAATCCAGGGACCAACAAGCTCAGAGAGGGGTTATAGACTCAACTGTGGTTTCCTTTCTTCTAAGGGAGAGATTAGAACTAGTTCCAGTGCATCAGCAAGACTCTCGGGGCCTGTGTGAGTATCGGGGCTCCAGCCCTGTAGCTGGGCTGCGGAGTGGAGGGAAGCTCCAGCAGGTGGTG